AGGTGGTTTTGGCCAACCGTGGCTGGCCTGTAACACAAATATAGGGAACAGGGGAGTTCTCTCAAACTGGGTTAGAACTAAATTGATTTTGCTTCAGTTCTAACCCCATCTTAGAACTTTTTGAAGAAAGATACATGTACTTCTCTTCTCACACTAACCTCCATCATCCAGTGAGTCTTTAAAATTAATCTATCCACCCACCTACCTAGTGCTTCTAGTTCTATAGACAACCTGTACTCATACAGGCCACAGAAAATATAAACAGAGTTTTTAAAATGAGACAGAGCTGAAGTTCCCATATCATAATCTGATAAAGTTAGGAGAAAAAAATAACCTCCAATTATTTGGAGAATTCCTGGATAACCCTAGGAGCAAGGACAGTAACAAAAGCAAACCACAAGCTATCTAGAGAGCAAAGGAAAAAAACAAAAACACCATCTTCTGAGAAAAGTGAGAATTTGCATTTCACATTTTTTTATTGAAGAACAATGAAAATGCAAAAACTTGGTCCTTAAGATAACAAACAGGAAATGAATAAAATAACTCAAAAGAAAGGAGGAAGAGTAAAGAGAAAAACCAAATGGAAAGGCAAATTAATTCAAATGCTAGCTCTTTGAAACAAATTTCCACAAGCTCAATTACAGAAAAAGAGAGTAAAGTAGAACAGCCGGTAGAATCACAGATACATACAGAAGATACTGCATGAAACAAGTCAGCACCACACCAAAGAGCAGCTAGAATTAGAGCTAAATTTCATCTCATCCCAAACAGTTAACTTCCAAAGTCATCAAACAATCCAAGCCAGTGCAGAAAATGGAAAAGCACTCCAATTTTGATGAAGACAGTATGGTTTTACTTAACCAATCCAGGTAGAGACATACCAAAGATAAAATAATTAGTGAGGAGACCTTGTAGTATAGGGGTTTCCATAGGCAGTTCCAACTCCTAGTGGCACTGCGGGAGAAAGAGGAGGCTGTCTGCTCCTGTAAAGCCCGACAGTCTTAGAAACCAAGGGGAGCAGTTTTTCTCTGTCCTCTAGGGTCCTGAGAGTCCGAGTGAACTCCAGAACAGTGGAGTGGGTTTGGTTCGTTAGTAAGATTCCAGAAATGCAGCAATGGAAGTCATTACAACAGAATACAGAAGAAAACGTACCCTAAATACAAACTGAGGTGGGATACGATAAAATTCAACCAGCAATCCTAATAAAAACACTAAATAAAACAAGAAAATGGCTTAAACATAATTCAGGCTATTTTTAAGTACCAATGACAAACGCTAATCACTAAACAAAGGAATAGTAGCTAAACTATTTAAATCACAACAGAAGGAAAACAGTAACACTAAGGGGACAGGCATTCTTTGACTCATCAACCCTTTGAGACCAAAAGGGCAGGGATTACTCAAAAGGTAGAAAAGTTCAGAAGGACTAGGAAAGGAGGGGAATGAACAAGTGATCTTACACTGTGGGGGCTGCACTCAATGATGGGAAAGAAAATGCGCATGAGCTGCTGAATGGAGAATGTGCTGCTCTGCTAGCCTTCACTCCATTTACAAGAAAAAGTTCTAATAAAACGGTACTTTCACTATTCCCCCCAACACCATAGCGCAAATGCATCAATTCCTCTAAGATCTTCTTTATTCACTGTCCAACTTTCACATGCAGATGGGGCTCCTTAAATACCAAGATGATGCTATTGTTTTCAAGTGACACGGAGTGGATGCTGATTCGAAGCCAGGTTGTATGGGGTTTCCGAGGATGTAAATCTTTGTAGGAGCAGAAAGCCACATCTTTCTCCCAGAACCGCAGGTAGGCTTGAACAGGTGACCTTGTGATTCACAGTCCAGTGCTTATCATACACAGCCACCACGTTCCAAATACCAAGATGTTGTTGTTAAGTTTTGTTGAGTCAGTTCCAACTCACAGTGTCCCTGTATAGGGTTTCCAACGAGCAGCTGGTGAGTTCGAACCTCCAACATTGAATAGCAAGATTGTTGTAGCTAGTGCCATCTAGTGGGTTCTGAGCCAGGTTGTTGTTGTCAGGTGCCATAGAGTCGGAACCGACTCATAGCGACCCCATGCACAGCAGAACGAAATGATGTCTGATCCTGGACCAACCTCACTATCACTGCCACACCTGAGTCCATCAATGATGCCACCTGGCCAATCCATCTCGTTAGGGGTCTTCCTCTTTTTCTCTGACCCTCCACCTTAACCCAGCATGACATGGTTCTCCAGCGACTATTTCCTCCAGACAATATGAGCCACAGTGACCCTGTATAGGGTTTCTGAGGAGTGACTGGTAAGTTTGAACCACTGACCTTGTGATTCAAACTGGCTTTACAGTGCAGCACATTAAGCCACAGCGCCGTACCCGGACTCTGAATACCACGATGCTGCCGTTGTTAAGAGCTGTCAAGTTGGTTCCAATACCCATAATGACCCTGTGCAGGGTTTCCGAAGAGCAGCTGGTGAGCTTGAACTGCCGACTTTGCGGTTCAAACCGACTTTACAGTCCAGGGCATTAGCCCACAGCGCCACACCAGGACTCCGAATACCAAGATAGGGAATGAGAAATAAGGTTATTTACAACAGGGGAAAGAAACAAATTCAGAAAGAAAACAGGTCTTACATGAATCAAAGACTTTTACTTTTTCCAAATTTAGTATGTGAATCTGATCCAATTCCAATTGGTGTCGGTTTTTTGTTTTTTCTTTTTTTTAAAGTATTGGATGAAATGGCTTTCAGGTTCACATGGATGACCCCCCACCCAAGGATAAAAGAAAGGGCCCTTGCCTCCCACCGACTCCACGTTTCAATCCACAACCTGCCGTGGTACCAACATAGAGGAACATCAACTCTCACACCACCAAGCCCTGGGGTAACCCTGCACCTTGTTCCCACCATGTTCACCTCTCCCCTGCTCAGTGCGGCCCTGGGCATTCACTGACAAGCTGTGATGTCCAATCCTCTTGACACACTGGCGCTCCTCAAGACCTCTCTGGATGAATGAGCATGGGAGAGCGGAGAATTCTATTATTCAGTCCCAAATGCTTGAGACGCTGAAAACTACATTCAACATCACCAGCTTTCTCTTGCCACCTATTTCTTTCCCACTGGATTTTTTTTCTGAAGCATCATTTGGATTTATTATAACATGGCAGGGACTCTTGGTGTGGCACTGACAGTTCAAACTCACCAGCCGCTCTGGCACTTAACAACATAACATGGCATAGACAGGAAGATACTGAATCTACAGTGAACAATGAATCTGTTTTGGAAAAAGTTCAGCTAGAATGGGAAAGTGTCGAAGCCAGAATGGTGAGCATGTTATCAGGAGGGACCAGTCCCTGGATAAGAACACCATGCTCGGTCAAGTGGACAGTTATTGAAAAGAGGAGACTCTCAATGAGGAAAGCTGAACCTCTGACACACGTCTGGTAGCACTATAATTGGTTTAAATCTCATGTGTGCACCGCCCGGATCTCTCAAATCTCAAATATGTGTTCTACAGAAACTTTTGATTCTTCAGGTTGAATACATTCCAGATGTTATTGAAAATATCTTTAGCCTTGGCCCATTGCTTCCTTCTTCCACAGAGCAGTGTGCACATCCCAGTTCCCACCTAATCCAGGGGAAGGGTTGGGGGGTTAGGGCGTTTTGCTGGCAGCATCTGATTAATGGACTACATAAACCAGGAACTAGCTGCCTCTCACTGACTTATGCTAGTCTTGTGGTTGCACACATTACCCCCGCTTCCTCAGAATAACCCTGAAAGCAGGTCCGGAAGATCCTTCTGGACCCAGAACCCTCAGAGCTAGCTAGCTGTTTTGGAATTGAAATTCTTGGATAACCTACACATAACCGAGGTCCAGGGCGCCCTAGTTTCCACTGTAAGGTGGTTCAAAGACTCAGCCAGCGGGAGCGACCCACAACGTCTCTTGAGTGAGTGGTCAGTCGCTGAGCGAGGCCCGGGGGGCACTGGGACCAGAGCAGAAAGAGCAGCAGGAGCTGGACGAGGTGGGGGGCTGAGAAGGGCCACAGACAGGCGGCCCCGGCGGCCGGTCACGTGGCTGCGAGGCCCCGGCAGGCGGGCTGGCCACTCGGAGCCCCGCCCCCGCCTGCAGCCATGTCGGCGCCCTGTCCCCTGGGGGGGGCCTTGCCTGCTCCGCTGGTCCACGGCCCCCTCCGGCCACGGCCCTCCGATCGACTCGACGAACGGCCCACTTAAAGAGGATTTCCTGAGAGCTCCCTCCCTCAGGGCCCGTTAACAACACGGTCCCCAGGAAACGGCAACGCTGGAGTGACCACAAGATGGCCACAGGACGCAATGGGGTTTAGACGCTTCGCGGCCCCTCGACGCTGGGGTATCCCGGCGCGCGGCCAGCCGGGTCAGCGGGATCTCTCAAGGCTCCCCTGCCCCGCCCCACCGCGGGATTAGGGGCCCGTACCCCGAAACGACCCTGTGGGCCTGTCCTGGCGCCACCGGAAGCAGAGTCCGCTGGGCCCTCAGAGGATGGACGTCGGGGGACCCGGGGGGAGGGGTGGGCGCGAGGTCCGGCTGCCCCTCCCCCACCGCTGACCCCGCGAGACTCAGGCCAAGGCCGGCAACCGCTCCCAGGCCCTGGACAAGCGGGCCTTTCCCACAGCTTCCCGGAAGGCCCACCCGTGTCCTCGAGGTAGGGGGAATCTTGAGAAAACACTTACGGACAGACGAGACGAAAACCAGGTGCCGACCGATCGAGCCTCGGACCCGCCCAGCGCCTACCGCCCGCCACCGCCACTTCTCGCGTTTCGCCCCGCCCCGAACGTGCGTCATCACGTCGCCCCGCCCTTGCCAGCGCTTTCCTCTCCCCAGGTCGTCATGTCCTCCCCCTCCCGGAATTCACCGGCCTCCGACTGCGCAGGCGCGGACCCGACCGTGTCTGTCACCTCTGCGCAGGCGTCGTGCCCCTCCCACGGCGGTTGGCCATATAGAGGCTGGGGGTGGGGGGGGGAGGTCAAGCGTAGCCTCTTCTCCTTTACCAAGATGGCGGCTTGTCCCTGTTTCGCCACATTTTCTACCTTATGAGCTTGGTTTCCTTACGCTAATAAGAGTGGAACAGGTAATGTGATTCTTCATCTCATGGTAGTTAGAGTGGGGGAAAGGGCATTTCTTCAGAGGCAGCTAAGTGGTCACTGAGGACAAGGGAGACGGACGGGGGGAGGACAAGTGGCAATAAGAGTATGGAGAGATCGCGAGGAGGGGGAGCCTTCGCCTTGGTGCTTTCCTCCAGAAAGATGGCGGCAGCACCGAGCTGCGAGCGTCGGAGCGGAGCTGGCAAGGGGAAGGAGAGTCACCGAGTGGGGCTTCTCTAGCCTCGGCGGCCGTCGTCTCGATGGTACAGATGCCTTGTCTGGATTGGCGCCCGCGGGTCACGTGGGGTTCGCGGCGACGCCGCCGACCATAGAGTTGGGCGCCGGTCCCCGGGGACGTGGCCTTCCGGCGCCCGCTCTCAGCCAGGGGCTGGGGCCTATCGCCCGGAGAGTGAGCGACGCCCTTAGGTTTCTCCTCCTGGTTCGGGGCCGTGGTGGCACCCGGGCAGCACCCCTCCAGCTCACTCCCAGCGACCTGGCTCCGGGGCGGGAGAGCCCGGTGCACGGCTGAGGCCTCCGTTCCCTGGGCGACGTCCCCTTCTTCTGTGGGCCGTGGCGCCCCAGTGCCTGTACCCTCCTGCCCGCCTCGGCTCTCGCTCCGCGAGTGCGGGGAGCCTTTCTAGATCGTCCATGACTGGAAATGAAGCTACACGCTGTGGGGTCAGTGGTGGGCCCGGAACGGTTTCTGACACGGGAATGTTCGGAGCAGTTTTGTGCCTCGTTTGAAGTGCCCTGACTTAGAAAATGAGGCTGCAGACTTCGTATGGTGTTTTGGATATCGTGTCAAACCCGAATTAAACCCAGAATTACCTTTTGTTCAATAAACCGTGCCTTTGCGCTAATAGGTCCCTCTGAGTGGGACTCGGCTTCCCCGCAGTGGGGTTGGGTTTCCAGTCGAATGATTAGAGCTGAGTCCTATGTTAGAGGTTGTAACCAACTGGACGGCGCTAAACGACTTCAGATGGGGGAGCCCTGGTGTAGGGTGAGCCAACTCCATGGCAGTTGGCAACACTGGCATGGGCCAAGTTACAGTTCGGCTTCTGCCCGAAGCCTGTGGTAGTGACGTTCTCCATAAGAGGCTTAGTGCTCAGTTTAGGAGGCCGACCTGGGACACCGAAAACTGGGGGAACCCTAGCTCTCTGGTTTGAATTTTGCATACCACCAGGTACCTAGAGGCAGTGTTTGGTAGTTGAGAAGATATCTTGTTTGGTTAAGAAGGATCTCCACCACCTAGACTCCTATTCTGGCTCGGAACCGTCAGAACCAGGAGTGTGTGCCCTGCCGTTGTCGTGGGGCTGCCATGCCTTCCTGCTGTGTGCCCTGCAGTGTCTTAGGGCTGGCTTGGCTGAAGGGGAGTGGGGGGGGGGGATCTAAGAAGGAACCACATTCCTGAATGCCCCCTCCCCGCTCGGGTCCATGCCCTGCCTGCTGCCCTCTGCAGTGGGTCCAGCTGACTTTTGAGTGGCCGTCTGTCCTCACTTGGTTTTATTAATTTGAGCTTCTGGTTATCTGATTTCCGTCTGCTGGCCTCATTTCTCTAGCAGCTCAAGTCAGAAAGCTGTGCTGGGGACACGAAAGTACAAAGGCTATAAATGGGGTTTTTCCTCAAGCACATTGGGGTCTAGTATGGAGGAATCACTTGGGTTTTGTTTTCAAAGCATTGTAGTGTGATAAAGGAGCTCTGGTAGCCTAGTGGATTACGAGTTGAGCCGCTAAGCGCAGGGTCAGCAGTTCGAATCTACCAGCTGCTTTGTGGTGGAAAGATGAGGCGTTCTCCTCCTGTAAAGCCTTTGAACCCCTGTACAGGGTTGCTATGAGTGGGAACTGACTCCATAGCACACCCCCAGCCCCACCACAGTGTGGTAAGTGCAACAATAGAAATGCGGGCCAGTCTTGGAGACAGGAAAGAGGTGAAAATGAAAGATTCAAAGGCAGTGGTCCTTGAATTGGGTTTTAAAGGATGACTAAGAGTTCTCTGTGGATTCGACAGGCCCAGGCAGTCTAGAGGTCTGACGTTTGTAGTTGGCTGGTTCTGGGTGACAGGGTAAGAGTCTGATGTACCGCTGGCATCTGGGATGATAGTGGGTTGGCTGAGATCAACGTGTGAAGGGCTTCGTGTCCTTGAGTTACTTGCTTCCTAAGACACTCCCCACTGGGACAGGGTTTCAGGTGATACTGTGTCCACAGGGACAACTACTGGCCGTTAGTGGGTCAGATAGACTTTCCATCCATGCTCCCCGATTGCAGCTGTATTAGTTACCAAAAGGGCTTGAGCAGAGAGCACCCTTGATGGAGTCATGCGTGGTGCCTGTGTGTGGAGCAGGACCCAGGCTCTGGGAAGAGTTCTCCGAAGGGCCATGAGAAGGTGGTTTGGACCAAGTAGGGCCCCAGCTGGAAGTGTGTCAGAATGCCTTTCCCTTAAAGGCAACAGCATGAGAAGACACCTCACATGTGTACCCTTACAAAATGGATTGCTCTAGCTGTTTTGGATCAAAGCGCACAGTTGTTGTTTCTGTAAAGTTGGCTTAGGGGCCATGTCTGACCTCCTAACTTCACAAGGAGGGAGGGAGATCAAGATCAACCGCCCAAGGCTGATTTCTATGAGGCAAATGCTAGCATGCCTCCACCCTCCAACCATCTGTCCCCCAGAATTCTCTGCTGCTTTGCTGGGTTCAGTAATTGGTTGGAATGACCACACAGAACTTAACATACAATACTCACAATTACAGGGCACATTAGAGAAATAAAGGTTACAACTCAGCATCTGAAATGACTAGGGACACAGTTCTTTGATGAAAAAAGCCTTTTCTCACCCATGCCCAGGGGTATGTCTCACTCTGGCCCTTGGTCTTGTGTCCTCTCAGCATCTGCCCTGCTTGGGCAAGCATTACAAAGTTCTGTAGCTCTGTCAGTAAGTACCTAGAGGCACCCCACTTCACCAGCAATCCCCTGGCCTGAAGACACTCGGCTTTCTTGTTCCTTTTTTCGGGAAGCCGGGTGCACCGTCTCCTGTGCCTGGCCCTGTTGCCTGCTCTCTGTCACTGTCTCTCTTTCGCTGTCTCCTGGGCCTAGGAAGTTCTGGGTACAGGTACGAGTCCAAAGGATGTGCTTCATTCCTGTCTCCTCTTTTCTTAAAAGTGGTTGTGACATTCCACCTCATTTTAAGTCTAGTCAGGTGGCAAAACGGGCGATGGGGTTCATGGTCCTGCTCCCACAAGGATGCCACACACCGTGTTTCCATTATCAGCAGGCTGTCCAGTCCCCTGAATGGGCCAGAGTGCTTGGACAGTTCTAGTCACTTGATGGGAGGTACAAGGACCATGGCAAGAAGCAACACCGATGTTTCTAATATCAGACGCTTAAAAGGGTTGTCCCTGTGTGTAGGCTTCTGTTTCACCAAGCACGCTGAGACTTCGTGACACCATGTAGGGGACAAGCCAGATGGGTTTCCTTGTTCGGAGGCCGCTGGGCCTGGTGATCTGCATTCTGCAGGTGCTGCTGCTGGCTGGATTCCTGCTTTCTCTTGGCATGCATACGGCTTTGACAATGAGAGTTTCCTTTGGAATCAAGGTCATTTCCTTGGTAGAATAGGAAGGTCATTGAATTCTAGGAAGGCTTAGAAGCTAAGAAGACTGATCTCCTCCTCCTCTGCAGCAGTCTGCCAGGCTGAGCTGAGTCCCTTGGTCTCTGTCTCCGGGTCTTCAGTTCACGTAGCACAGGTGCCTGACTTGCCTTGTGGGTTACCCCACGCTTTCCCAGTCTTAGACGGTGAGCAGGGAAGGCCCGCCTGCTAAGCAGCGCTCCCTGTATGCATGTGTGACAGTGGAGTGCTCTTGAGCACCGTCTTGTATGTTGTCTGTTCTCTGTATACCAGGATGACATGAAGCCCCCCTTCCTTTCACCACCTACCTTCACTGTGCACACAATGCCAACACACGGACACAGGTCTCAGCGGGCTCACCAGTGGAGGTAATGCAGCAAGTTGCTTGCGGCCGGCTCTACAGCCACTCTGTAGAGCGTTTCCAAGGAGCGGCTGGGTTGAACCACCCACCTTGTGGCTCAGCACATTCTTGTGCAGTGCCCCGCCAGGGCAAGAGTGGGTTCTTCTCTGTGGAAGGAAGAAGATCAACCTCGGAAATGTGCTCACGGCACCGTGACTTGGAGTCAACTTGAGGGTTATGAGTAATGTCAGTCTATCACATCTAGGTGACATAAGGTGACAGTGTGGCCTTTCCTTTGCAACGAACCTGGTGACACCATGGGGTAAGCATTGGGCCTCTGACTACAAGTTGGGTGGTTTGAGCCCACCAACCGCTCATCAAGAGAAAGGTGAAGCCTGTTTCCACTGAGATTCTCACCCTAGGGAGCGCATGGAGTGGCTCTCTGTCCGCTAGGTCACTGGTTCGGAACCCACTCTGCACCAGAACACTTGGTTTGCTGCATTAGGTTTTCAGGGCAGTGACCTTATTGCAGCCGGTGGCGGCCTGTCTTGTGAGGCCCTTCTAGGGGCTTGTGAGTGCTAGCCCACCTATTAGCTAGCACTAGTCCAGTGTTTCCACATTTTACTGTGCACCTCCAGGGGAGTCAGTGTGTGAGTCTGCCCCACAGTCCGGAGCACTTTGGGCCAGTTTGCAGTACACTTACCAAAGATTTGGAGGTTAGCCTTTCCAGTTTAAAACCATGTAAGTAGATGGTCTGACTGTCACCTACACTGCTGCCCCCAAGTCAAGCACTGTGAACAGAGCTTTGAGAACATTCTATCTATTTCTGGAGTGAATAACCAAAAAAGTGCATTGCTTTTTGCGTGTGGTTGCTTCTTAAAGAACACCTGAATGCTGTCCTTTTGGGCACTAATTTCTCACCATTTTGGCCTAGAATAAGGAAGACCGTAGTTGAATTGATGCTTTTGAGTTATGGTGTTGGAGGAGAATACTGAAAGTGCCATGGGCTGCCAAAAGAACCAAGAGAT